TATCTATCTATCTATCTATCTATCTATCTATCTATCTATCTATCTATCTATCTATCTATCTATCTATCTATCTATCTATCTGGTAATATTTGTCAAATTTCTTCTGGAGAGGATCAAACTGCAAGGATTGATGGAGAGCGCTCTCATTGGAGCACAGCTGATGATCACGTGACCAACCCGGAAGCCGAAAATTGCAGGTGCTCTAAACAAAACGGATGTATCTAACACTTCACCGAATAAATTAACGAAATATTTACAGCCCCAGAATGAATCGGGACTGTAGTAGGAAACTACAAACTGCAACAAGAGAAAAAATCAAGAAATTCAACTTCCTACGTGGTGAGTTTTATATGTCATACGTCTGATGAAAATGAAGAACTTCTGTAGTTCAGTGAAAACAACAACCAACTTGTCTTGTAGGTCGAGAGGTCCGTTCGGGTGAGTTCTGGGATGCAGTGGTCATTACAGCTGTCGACAGGAGTCAGAAAGAAGCATATGAGCTGCAAATCAGCGAGAAGCTCGACCGGAAGGAGCTCCCCCTCGGACCTCAATACAACGTCTTCTCAGATCCTCCTGGATCCAAAATAGGTCAGAACCTTTCAGTCATGAATACAAATATGAGGGATTTAAATGAGCTTTTCACTTGTTTTATTGTTGTTTTTTAAGGGAATGGAGGATCCACTCTGTATGCTCTGCAGCAGCTGGAAGACATTTATGGAAAAACTCTGAGTGGACTGAGAGTTATTCTCATCCATGCAGGTGACTTTTATTTATATTTTAAGGCTTATTACTATTTATTAAGCAAAGAAAATATCTAAATAAAATATCCATGATTGTATGACTGCAAATAATTTATGATTTTGTTGTGGACTAACCGGAGTACTTTGTTGAATAAAATATTTTAACTATAGTAGYAAATATCTCAAATGCTCATCACAGTTTTTAAATTACATCTGGGGTATATTTTCTTTATAAGTAACAAAAACTGATATATAAATTTATTTTGAAATAACATCTTGTTTTTCATGTTAATGTAAAAAGCCAATCCTGGTCCTGAAGCATTATTAAACAGTGCTGTCATCTGTCTGTAAGGCTAAATAATATAATAATATATTATTGTTAATATAARAATAATCATATTTAATTTCCCTTTGGAATTAATAAAGTATTTTTGAATTGCATAGGAGCAAATGAATCTCGTTCTCCTTTATTTGCTGTTAGAGTTTGACCTCTGGCTAACACAGGCAAAACTATTCAACTGGACCTCATTAACATTTCAAATTACTCAGGTTTATTGAAGCGGAGAGAACACAAARATACAGATAATCTACAGGAAACTGATCCACAGACTATGCTCTGTGCAGCAGTGGTGGATGCTGGTCTTGGAGAGGAAYCTCAGTTTCGGCCTACATAATAAAATGTGTGGGTTATAAACTCTACCCTCCGTTCCTTTTCAAGAAAATGACAGGGTCACAGATCATTTTTTTTAGTTTATAGTACTTATTCATTTAATTTTAAGAAACAAAACATTACATACAACAAAACAATACAAATAAAATAAAATGAAAGGCAGCAGAAGAAAAAGATCTTGATATCTGCTCCTGTTTACAAAAAATATTAATTTCAAACAATAAACCAAATAATAAAACAAAACAAAAAAATCAACTCAAACAGTGACTCATACAAATACAAATTAAACAATTTCATATTTCTTTGACAATTTTGCTTTGATTTTTTAAAGGAATTAATTGATCTAATGCTTTTATAATCATTTTCCAGATTATTCTAGTCTGTTACAGCAGCCAGCTCACGTTGTCATACCAGGACAGCTGAAAAGACCTGTTATTTCTTCCCACCTTTTGCACCAAATTAATCTGAGGAGCTGATCAGCCCGTAAACAAGGCTGTATCAAATGGCTTCGCCAAAATCCGGTCCACAACATTCAAACTCTCTGCCGTTATGTGCAGCTTGTTACCTAGCTAACTCGCTAGCTGGGACTGGCGCGAGGCTAGTGTGAAGTGTGTCCCCTCTGCCTTTGTGATGGCGGAGGGGCTCAGTAGCACCGCTGGACAGAAACTGTGATAGACGTCAGAAAGAGTGATAGAAATCTGTCTCCAAACACAAGCAGATACAATAAAACCCACCAGAAATAAAAACTTGATTTGTTGCTAGTCGTTTTTAACAAAGAAAATGCAGCTAAGAGGGTTAGTAAAGTCTCTGGTTCAGCTCAGAACAGAAACGAAACTAAAAACTGCTCCCACTGAATGTTTACACCAAAAGATCTCTGATTCGCTCATTTCGCTGTCAATCAAAAAYAGATTCAGGCTCAGACASATCATCCAATCATCATGCAGAATCWTGGCGTCCGAACCCGCCCACTGCTCCTTAGACRCCCAGAGACGCTGAGCGTCCGGGGGCGGGACAAAACCCAGCATTTATCCAATGACTCGTCTCYTTTCGCTGCATTTTTTTGCCTCACTGTTGAAGTCTGTGTAAGCTCAGCATCCGACTGTTTAAAGCTCTGTGAAGCTGCGGGAATGAGGGAGAGGAAGCTTCGTCGTTACCGGTGATAAGATGCTGATCTAAACATAAGTTGAGCACATTATAGCGCATATTTAGTCAATGATATGTACACACAACAGTGTATATTTGATCACTTGTTTTTTTTTGTTTTGTTTTGTTTTTTTTACATTTTAGGGGAAGCTGAGCCTTGCAGTCTTAGAGCAATTGCCTCTGCTGTGGAGGGATTAAAAAATAAAAATTTTAACTTGGACATTGTCAGCTTGTGCTAAACTGATTTGTGTTAAACTTTCCCTTAAGATCATAGATGAGAGTTTTCATGAACATCTTTAAGCTATAAATCTGTTTTCTGAGCTTGTTGCAATCCTCCCATGTGACCTGGAAGAGTTGTTTTCCGCTAGGCGCACTCGTAGCTACGAAATGTCCTGTTATTAAGTCAGCTTCYTACTTATTCAAGTAAATGATCCTCTTCACTTTCTTGTACAGGTTTTCTTTGAGAATGACATAAAAATACACACTAAAGATGTTGTTTTTAGCTTCCTGTTCCAAGCAATAAAGAGTTTCTTTCAGAAATTGATTTTATTAAATTAGAAATGGCTGCAGTAGCTCAGCGGTCCGTGRCACAGGACTGCAGGTTCGAGCCCAGGCTGCAGCAGGAGTGAAACGTTTTGGTAAATCTTTCACGCAAGTTCACTCTCTGTGGCATCCCCTGCAGAAGGGAGCAGCTGAAAGGAGAACAGCAGTTTTAATTAATTAGCAATTATTGGAACCGTTTAATTGTTTCCATTAAAAAGCAAACGTCAGAATGAATAATCCTGAATCAAGCTGACCAGATTCTTCACACGGCGTGCATTTCTCACCTCCTCCTCCTGCTTCCAGGCGGCTTCAGCCAGCGTCTGCCCAGTGCCAGCGCTCTGGGGAAGATCTTCACGGCTCTGCCGCTGGGCGAGCCCATCTACCAGATGCTGGAGCTCAAACTGGCCATGTACGTGGACTTTCCATCCCAGATGAAGCCCGGCGTCCTGGTGACCTGCGCGGATGACATGGAGCTCTACAGTGTAGGCAAGGAGGAGAGGGTCACGTTTGATAAGCCTGGGTTCACAGCTTTGGCCCACCCCTCCTCTCTGTCTGTGGGCACCACCCATGGGGTGTTTGTGTTGGGTCTGRGTGAGGGTTCCCCTCGCCCAGAAATGGAGAACACTTCCTGTCGGCGTTTTCTGCACAAGCCGAGCGTCGACAGGATGAGAGACGAAGGAGCTGTTTGTGAGACGCAGACTGGATTGTTTTGTGTGTCCGACGGTGAGTTTGTTTACACAGACAGCACCTATTATGTTGATTTTGCCACTGCCAAGACTCTTCTGAACCTGCTGTGTGAACTGGGGCCCCTGAGCTGTGAGATCGATGCGTACGGGGACTTCCTTCAAGCTTTAGGTCCCGACGCCACCGTAGAATACACGAACAACACTGCTAATGTCACCACAGAGGAGCGCAGCCTGGTGGGAATCCGTCAGAAGATCTTCCGTCGTCTCAGAGGGACCCCCCTGAATGTCGTCCTGCTGAATAACTCCAAGTTTTATCACGTGGGGACCACCTCGGAGTACCTGTTTCACCTGACGGAGGACGAGGCYCTGCGGAGCGAGCTGGGCCTCCTGTCGTCCGCCTTCAGCGTGAGCGAAGCCTCCTCCGGCCGCTGRGTCATGTACAGCCTCCTCCATCCCAGCTGCTCTGTGGGAGCCGGGTCGGTGGTGGAGTACTCCAGGCTGGAGGCGGGGGTGTCTGTAGGAGGGGGCTCCATCGTCAGCAGCTGCTGGGTCGGTCCAGGACAGGCAGTGCCGGCCGGAGTCTCCATGCACTCCCTGTGCGTGGAACACCGGGAGCACACCGGGTTCGTCACCGTCTTCTTCGGGATCGAGGACGACTTGAAGCTCAGCGTGGACTCTCCTGCGTTCGCAGAGGAGCTGGAGCTTCTGGGGCTCAGCTTGTCCGAGTGTCTGTCRCTCTGGGSGATGGACGAGGAGCGGCTGAAGTTCTCCAGTGACRGCTGCAGTTTGTGGAGCGCTCGTTTGTTTCCCGTTTGTTCGGACCAGCCGAGCTCCTTCTCGCTGTCTCTGACGATGCTGCAGGCCGTCCAGAGGGGCTCCGCCAGCCCCCCGCCCAAAGACGTAACGTTCATGTCGATGCAGGACTGTTTACAGCAGAAAAACCTGAAGGAAATGTTGAAGCTCAGGAGAGGACTACATGATGACATCACTCAGAGAAAAGTTGGCCAGTAAAACAACCATGTTTGTGATCATTATGTCACTTATATATTTTTGATAAAAGAAAAAAAAATTGTATTCAAAAAGTTCCTTTACAAGTTTGGCTTCTATCAACAAATTTTGGTATAACTGCATGAAAAATTCATTGTTTTTATTGTATTTATTCTTTACAATCCAATATATTTTTTTATCAGGTAGTATATGTAATCCTTCACGATAAATGTTCTTTGTTCAATAAAAAAATTTAATTTACATTATTTAACCTCTTAAGCCCCAAGGGGTTTTCTTGACGTTTTTTCTCAAAATACCATGCCGAAATGTAATTGAGTGTATCTCAGCATTTACAAAGTCTACTTAAATAATCTTGGTATCAGAATAAAGCTAACATTTGGGAGATTTAATCAGAAGTGTAAGCATTAAAACAGCTGCTGTGGTTTTAGAGATATTGGAGATGGAACATTATTATTATTATTTTTTACTCTCACCTGAATATTTTTTGCYTTAGACAGTATATAACCTGTTTAAAACCATAATGAAGTTGGCTAAAAACTCTTGGAAACCATAAATCCACTCGTGGACATTACCTGTGCAAAGATTCATGCTYCTAAAATTAACTGGAGCAAAGTTACACAGGTTTTAGTAAAGAAATAATTTTGTYTTTTGTCATTCTGCACAGGACAGACCATGATGGTACCATTAATAAATGTTAAGAAATCTTAAGTTTTTTTGGCCACGCATTATTTATTTTTTCTTACCTGCCTTAAAAGACTTGTTATTAAATGTTTATTCCTTTGAAAAATTATCCAAATATTTATTTTTCACCATATTCATTATAAAATAAAATGAGAATTTATATTTGACTTCAATTGGATCATATTCTCTCAAAATCAAATGAAAAAAACTTTCAACATACTTTACAACATATTTAGGTATCTACTTTGACTTGCTTTAACAAAAAATAATTTCCATTTTTTTTCTTTACAGATTTGTTGTAATGTATTTACAGATTTGCAATGATGRCATTTTGTACAGTTTGTTWACTMTCTGATTCAKCTGCTTGTCYTTTGAACTGTGTTTGGTGAATGTAAAAATAGTTTCCATGAGTTTTTAGCCAAGATTCTTYGGTTTCTTTTGATACCAAACATGTCCAGGTTCAACTGACAGATCTGAAGTTAAAAGAAACAGAAAACGGAATAAASAGTTTTGCCCCCGGTACCGGGGGGCATGGAGCTCTGTAAAGGACAATAATTTTAACTTTTACTGTATGTTGCTGCGAGAGATTTTGTCAAAATATATTGTTTGCTTTGTCTTTTTCACAACTCCCTTTGTGAATATTTTCTGTGATTTTGTAAAGAACCAAAGTCTGTTYTTTATTATAGCCTCAGAGTTTTAGGCCCTGTCATACTAGACAACTTGTGCCAACTTATGAACATTTTAAAGACAAATCAAAATTAACAGGAAGCTCCTTTTTGGAATTTTAAAGATGTTTACATTGAAGATGGAATTGAAAAAATCAACATGAACCTTTTTTCCGCGTGTACATAATGTAATTCTAAAAAATTGATCAAATGTATAATTTTTATTAGCATTTTAGACATAAAAAAGGTTTCATAAGTTGTCTAGTGTGACAGGGCCTTTAGCTGTAGTCCTCTGTTTTACCCAGATGTCACTGATGTCACACTACAACAGCAGTGTCAAACTCAGTTGCACAAGAGGGCTTACATTTTAAATATGGGACAAGCCAAGAGCTAATTTGTCTTTAAATTATTTTTTCCAAATCATATATTATGGAGTGTTTGGTGCGTACGTAACCTAAAAAATATAGAAAAACTATACATATAAATAGAAGCATCACTAGCATTACTTTCTTGTTCTTACTCTATCAGCAACTTGTTTATTATTTCTTAAAGATACATTTGATCACAATCCAGCAAATRGGGCAAAAAAAGAAAACCAACACACAAAAAAAAAATCCAATTATTTGACTTAAGAAAAGAAAAGAATATAGAAAACGACAATTAAAGTAGCTTCTCTGCTGCTCATTACGCACCAAAATCAAAAAATTACAATTTTTTTTACATGAAAGTTGGCCAGCTTTCATCAGAAGAGRGCACTAAATAGAGCGGCAAAAAGAAAATAAACCATAAAACTATTTTACATTTAAATTATTACTTGTGTGGCTGAATAAAATGGTAACGAGGCCCTGATTTGACCCGCGGSCGGGCCTTGAGTTTGACACAGCGTAGCAGAAGATATTCTGAACAGCAGCTTGCTACTTCATGTTAACACTGCACGCTCCTTTATAATGTCATTGATATTTTGTCATTTTCACAATTTAAGTTACATTTTGCTGTTAAAATTTGCTAAGAGAGAAATATACGTGTCTGTCAACTTTATCCACACATCCTGAGTCCGTTCTGAGACTAGTTTTTACCGATGGATGTAACTGAAGACAAACATGCTAGAAACACAGAAAGAAATACAAAATGCATAATAAAGATAAATTTGCATTTTTTTTTTACATTGTCTTTTTTTTTTCTCAAGTCAGGAACAAAATCCAGACTGTCGTGCATTCTTAGTGCGTTCCACTAATCGTTTGCTTTGTTTTGCAGTCTCTACACACAGTAGAGGGCAGGTTGGCTGTCCGTTGCATTCCAGGTGTTTATTTTTAGCCGTGAGCTTGTTTTATCCGGACCCTCTGCAATTGTGTCCAAGTGTTAGATTGTGTTCCTGTCAGACTCAAAAAACTGAAAGAATAAAGAGAGGAGGAACCTTTCAATGGGAAATTACAAATCAAGACCATCTCAGACCTGCACAGGTAAGAGCTTAAAGGTATTTTTTTTTTTGAAAATGGTATTTTTATTTCGACAGGACTGAGAAACAATAACTGAGCTGTTGAGAATCACCTGACCTTAACCACCCTGAAAAATGTGTCTTTTATTCTGGCTGTGGGGAATGTGAAGATGAGTGGAAAAAGAAGGTGGGTGAGTCGTACTCTGTGATCGTTGAGAAGCTGGAGGATGACTTTCAGCTGCCAGAAAGTGCGTTGGCAGATCTTAACCTGGCTTTCAGGTGACAAATTGTTATTATATTTTCTTAAAATTGGCATTTAGTCCATGTGAGTCATTATTTAAACKCTTTGAGAACCTCTGCTCAGTTAGATCATTTTTCTGTCCGTGGTTTCAGCTCAYATGAGGCTTTTCAGAAGGTGAACGTGAACTACCGAACGGAGAAGGGGCTGTCGCTGCTGCACCTCTGCTGCGTGTGTGGAGGTATGTATGTGTCTAAGAATAACTGCTCTGCAAAATGTGACAGTGGAAGGGAGGATTACTGGAGTATGACTGACAGTATTGTTTGGCAGTGATCTTTCTGMTGTCAYCTGCATAAAGTAAATCAAATTAAARAGAAGTGGTGTGATAAGCTGCACATGAAAGTTCAAAATGTTGCGTTTACTGGTTGGTTGTCTCATTAGTGAACTATTGGGTGAGTCAAAAGTTTCTGGACACCCTTTTATTTCAGAAACAAAGAGGAAGTGAAATATCTGAATACTACCGCAATGAATGGGTGGGGGGGGGCTACCTTTCAGAATGTTAAGAACATGGCTGCCATCTTGAAAGCCGCCATATTGGATTAAAGTCAATTTTTTTCCAAATGGGAAGGTGGCCYTGTAGCATATCAAAGAAGACCAGAAATGGATTAGTGCAATCAGATGTGCAATATCTCTTGTGGTTAAGAATTTGCAACAACAATTGGGAACATTGCCCGTGATCAGGCAATGTTCTCTGTTGTTGTTGTTGCAAATAGTTATACATCATGGCAAGAAGCACAACTATTTGCACAGATGTATGACGTGTTCAGTGTACTGAACACAGGCACACTTTTGACAAACATTAACATTTTTGTCAAAAAGAAAAAATAAYTAGGTCCTCTGGATGGGTTGGATGAGCAAAAGGTGTGAATCAGGGCCCCAATGATATCAACACAAAGAGGGAAAAAAAAGAAAAAAACAAGGGGACYTTGAACCCCGCCTGCATTCACTACATACACATGACACAACACCTAAGAACCACTGCATCCAAACCAATAAGTCAGGTGATGGGGCACATGACCCTCTATGAACAATAGAGCTAATCAAGCCTATTGTTAAGTGATYGCCCTCTTTTGCACGTGACTAACCTGTTTGTCCAGGTGGAGGCAGTGCTTATAAGGCTGAGTTCACCTGAAACTCATCAGACTGAAGAAGTCTCTTGGAGGAGAGACGAAATGTTTCACTAAAGAAGAACCCATCCAAAGGACATACTTAATTTTTCTTTTTGATTTTTTCTACCAGGATTACTGAGATGGATCAGGACATTAACATTTTTGAACTTTCTGCGTTGATTTACTCTTGAACCACAAGAGATGTTAGAAATCAGACCGCAGCAATCCATTTCTGAGACAATTCTTATCAAGTTTGTTGTAGTTTGGACTCAGACGCAGGCAGACACAAGGAACATAGAAAAAACGAATTCTTTATTTAACCAAACCAAAAGCCAGCAAGACAGCAAACTTTACAGAGTGGTGAGAACTATGAGGGGAAGTGGAGGACGGAGGGTTGGGAGCCAAGACGTCAAACAATGCGGAACTGAAGGATTAATGAGTTAGTGGAGGCAGGTGGGCCCACTGGAAGTGACAACAGGTGACTGAATGGGAGAAACACTGAAAAGCTGGCCAAAGGAGGAAATGAGGAAATGTCACAGGGAGCACAGAGAACAAGGAGCTACTAAAACAGAGTCGAAAAAAAAAAAAAAAAAKKCAGAAACACAGGGATTCCCCTTTCCATTGGAAACATTTGACTTTGATCCAATATGGCGGCTTTCAAGATGGCAGCCATGTTCTGGACATAGCCTAAAAGATACCTACTGGAGTTTTCAGATATTTCATTTTCCCTTTTGTTTTTTTAAATTAAAAAAGTGTCCTGAGAGTATTGTCTCACCTTGTGTTATTACTACCTGATGTTTGTATTCAGGCAACAAGGAACATTTGCACACACTGATGCTAAAGGGCCTTCGTCCTTCCAGGCTAAGCAGAAATGGTTTCACTGCGCTCCACCTCGCTGCTTATAAGGTGAGGCAAAGCTGAACACAATTCTCCATTTGAGAGCTTTTTTAAAGTTGCACCACATGGTGGAGTGCAAGTGCACACAAAAGCCCATGTGTGTTGCATCATTCTGGAGTCTTGTTCTTGAGGATGATGCTCTTTCTGTGTGGCGTACGGTTCTGTGCCACAGGACAACGCAGAGCTGCTGACGGCCCTCCTCCACGGTGGGTCAGACGTGCAGCAGGTGGGATATGGTGCTATCACGGCCCTGCATGTCGCCACTCTGGCTGGACATCAAGAGGTGAGAGGAAAACAAACACCCGCCTCAGACTGGACTTATGTTTTTATGGTGATATTTTTGCCATTTCTGCCCATCGCAGGCTGCAGATATCCTCCTGCAACATGGAGCTTTTGTCAACGTTCAGGATGCTGTGTTTTTCACCCCACTGCATATCGCTGCCTACTACGGTCATGAGCAGGTCATTCATTTGAATATTTTACCTCTAATGACTTGAAAAACCTTGAAAATTAGCCAAATGTAGTCATACAGCCGATTGTTATCCGCAGTCTTTTTGAAGGAGTTGAGAAGGCTGATACTGTAATTATATGATACACAAGGATTCACTTGAAAATCATAAACATGTAATACTCTAAGTTTACTCAGTAACAGCCACGGAAAAAGCTGCTAATCTTTAAAGTCGATTGTTTTGTAGACATATCTTCATCAAATTTAAATATTCAGGAAAATCATAAAAGAATGCTTTAGACACTTTGTCATTGGTGCACTTCTCATTTGCTTAATTCTGTCTGTTCTCGTCTACGTTAGGGATGCACCGATATGAAAATTTCGGCCGATATCGATATCCAAWATAATTATTGCTGTTATGGCCGATAACCGATATTTACCGATATTACACAAGCACACAAATTATATTATACATATACGCACAAACACACTTGGGTCTTTTTTTGTTACCGTAAATAAACGAGCAGACCTAACCTGGCTCTCTACTTCAGTTATTCCTGACTATGCAGCAGCAATGTCACTATCATGATCAAACAAATGCCGCTCAACCAACCATCTCCCCTCCCAAAACAGAAACACAAAGCTAAAAAGTTGGAAATCAATATCGGACATTAATATCGGCTCAGTTTTAAATATCGGACCGATACCGATTTTCTAAAAAATGACCAATATCGGCCGATACCGATATTAGTGCCGATATATCGTGCATCCCTAGTCTAAATCCATTTTATAAAACTTCACAATTAGAKAATCTAATTTCCTTGTCACGTTCTGCCTCCCAGGTGGCGAAGCTTCTGCTAAAGTTCGGGGCCGACGTGAACGCGAGCGGTGAGGTGGGTGACCGACCGCTGCACCTGGCCGCAGCCAAAGGTTTTCTGGCCATCATCAAACTGCTGGTGGAAGAGAGGAGCAGAGCTAACGGTGAGACCCAAGAAGCCAAGAGAAGATTCACTTCAGACCACAGACCTGAGAATGAATTATAGTATGTAGGTACACTGAGCTCCAAATTATATAAATATATAAAAATATATACAGTAGTAGTTGATACAGATGACACACATCTTTTTCAAGTCATCAACTGTTTAAGTGTAATTCAGTATTTTTCCAAAAATAAGTTTAAAATGCACTGTTCCAAATTATTACACACAACAGAGTTTTGAAACATTTTATAGGTTGTAAAGAACTGAAAATCATTTAGTAGGAGGTCATATTTACTGAAGTCAAAAACTGTTTCAGTCAAAAACATCTGAACAGAAGAAGTTACATCTGAACAAAGGACCTCTTGAACTAGGGAGTTTCAAGAGAGCTTCTGCTTGAATTCCTTTGCAAGATGTCAGAATAGCCTCCCAGAGCTGCTGTTTGGATGTGAACTGCCTCCCACCCTCAGAGATCTTTGGCTTCAGGCTCCAAACGAGGGGCATCAGGGCGTCTTTTGGACGCTCTGTTTTGGTTTTCTCTGACACTTTCTTCAGCTTGGTCGACGCCCCAGGACGCCCTCAGAGCACCGTGCCCATCTTAGGGTTTGCTGGGATTTAATAGACATTTCTTTGGAAGAGATGCAGCTTTTGCCTTCGAACACACCAGAAAGGTCTACTAGCCAATCAAAATTGAGGTGGGGGCGGGCCTTGAGTCTTAGCAAAAGTTTGAGTTTGCATGAAGCATGGACTGCAATTAGTGATGTTCGATACTGCCAATTTTTTTTCCGATACTGATACCAAGTAAAATTTGTCTGGTATTGGCGATACTGATACTTTGTGATAACACACAAAATGTGTCTGGTAAATTTTTCGTTTTTCAAATAACCGCTTTATAAATAATACATGACATAGTAATATATTTAATTTAAAAGTCTTTCCAACCCTAACCCTATATTTGTTTAGCACAATTTAAAATTCTTATTCTAAAGAAATATAACAATTTTTAAATAGTGAATAAAAGTGAGAAAAATATTCTAAAAGTTGTTACTTTGTATTTTGTAGTATTGTTTGTGGGTCCCTGGCCAGAGATAATGCTGTTTGGGGGGCCATGGCATGAAAAAGTTTGGGAACCCCTCATAGAATTTAATTATTGTCAGACTAAGCAGATTTTATGTTAAAATGACCTGCCATACCGTGCCACTGTGCGCATGCATTACCCAAGTGGAAGAAGTTTCTCTTCTTTTATGCCCATAGCAGCCCATGATGCAGAGGTAGTCCTCACTGCATGAAATGATGTGTCCTCTGAATCAGCCACAAATTTCAAAACTTTTGTGAAAAATCTAAGATTTTCATTACTTGTCCAAGACATTCAACTAGCTGCAGAGATTCTTTTTCTTTTCCATTTTGCTTGAAAACAGTGGTCTGCATAATAATGTGGAACATTCTTCAGTAGTTTTTTCTTTAATTGGGCTCACCTGATAAACTAATCACAGGTGCCATCCATGAGTTTAATTAGTTGCAATGAAAACTCATAAAAGGTCATCTTTATAACACTTACATACAATATGCATAATAATTTGGATCGTGGTGTAAAAAAGGAATTTTCATGGAGTCTTAATGACTCAAGTTTAAACTGTTTTTATCATAAATTAACTCATAATTATATTAATAATATGTCTTTGTGTTTTTATATTTTCTAACGTTAATAAACAATCACAAAGTTGTTTAAGCTCCTACATAATAACTCAGTTTCATTTCTATTTAATTTTGTTGTAGCTGTTAAACAACACTTATGAGGTTCTGAACTTCCTGATTTCAGAAGCCATCAGGAGGATAGATGATCACAGGCTTAACGTTTTCTCTTCTTTTCCTAGTAAACGCCCAGGACAACGAAGACCACGTCCCCATGCACTTCTGTGCTCGATTTGGTCACCAAGACGTCATCCGTTTTCTCCTCCAAGAAAACCTCGAAGCTCAGCCTCATTCTGTCAACATCTACGGCGACACGCCGTTGCACCTGTAAATACAGTCTCAGCTGTCTCCTGCCTACGTTTTGTCAGATGACTCGATCGTTCGTGTAAATGTTGTTCCCTCAGGGCCTGCTATAACGGCAAATTTGCCGCGGCGAAGGAGATCATCCAGCTGTCGGGAACGGAAAGTCTTTCAAAGGAGAACATATTCAGTGAGACCGCACTCCACAGGTACAGTCACAAACACCGCTGCTTTGGTTCAAGTCTTCTGAGGTGGAGCTCTGATGCATTAATGAGTTTTGATCCGACGGCACAGCGCCTGCACTTATGGTAAAGATATCGAGATGGTAAAGTTCTTGCTGAGCCAGAACGCCATGAGCATCAACTTCCAGGGCCGAGACGGACACACAGGTGACTCGTCAGCATACCTCTGTTCCTCTGCGCAGCTAAAATCCAAACTGATTTTTTTCTTTTTTTTTTTCTTTTTAGCTCTCCATAGTGCGTGTTTCCATGGTCACATCCGCCTGGTGCAGTTCCTGCTGGACAGCGGAGCAGACATGAACCTGGTTGCCTGCGACCCCAGCAGGTCCAGCGGGGAGAAGGAGGAGCAGACGTGCCTGATGTGGGCGTATGAGAAAGGTGAGTTCTGGTACGAATGGGGGCAAGGCAGTTCTTCAAGATCCACTGGAGTCCAGGGCCCAGAGTTAATTAAAGTACCACAAAGTGATACTTGAGTAAAAGTACAAGTATCTTACCAAAAAATTACTTTGTAAAGTGTCCTGATGCATCTCAGTAATCCAGGTAAAAAATCAAAAGGAAAAAAAATTGTATAGGTCCTCTGGACGGGTTCTTCTTTAATGAAACGTTTCGTCTCTCTTCCAAGAGACTTCTTCAGTCTTCAAAAAGCCTGAATTTTACCTGAAACTCTCAGACTGAAGAAGTCTCTTGGAAGAGAGACGAAACGTTTCATTAAAGAAGAACCCGTCCAGAGGACCTATACAATTTTTTTTCCTTTTGATTTTTTACCTGGATTACTGAGATGCATCAGGACAAACTTGAACAAGTTTATTTTAAAATATTTTTTTCCCAGTGATGGGCAGATCAGGAACTCCAGGTTTTTTGTTTTTTTCCAGTCAGGACGTCACATCCTGTCTTTATCC